GTTTGAACCGCCAGCCTTCTGGTGATTGCCCATCATAGAGGCTTCATTGTGATTGTGACTGTGATACACTTTATTGTGAAATTTCTGTTTCTATCAGTCAGGGTCCAGTTAGGGTTACACCAGTTGTTTTAACAGAGAAAGCTTAATATAAAGAATTATTAATCATGTACTAAAAAACTGAAAAGGCAAAAACAAACTGTAAGGTGTATCAAAAAGGCTCAGCTACCACCTCTGAGGCTGGGTGAACAAAGGGAAGGGGAGAGAATAACTAAAACCTAGAAATTTGGAGACAAGGCCCTGAAGGGCTGAAACTCAGACTTCTGAGGAGGGCTGGCTGGTGCTACTGTCTCTATGGCACATCCTGTGAGACTAGTATATAAGTGGTAGGAAGACTGCAAGTTGAATTCAGTTGCCACTTCTGCAACAGGCTACTGCCTGGGAGATGAAGAAGCAAAGCTGTGGGCCTACCAGATTTAGCGAAAACAAAACACAAGAAGTACAGGTAAATTTGAATTTCAGATAAATTACTAATCAGTTTTTTAGTATAAATACATCCTAAAGATTACATGTGACGTTGTTGTTGTTATGTGCCGTCAAGTCAGACCCGACTCATAGCGACCCCTCCTTGGGTTTCTGAGACTGTATCACTACGGAAGTAGATTGCCCAACCTTCCTTCCAAGGAGTGGCTCATGGGTTTGAACCACCAGCCTTCTGGTTAGCAGTCAAGTGCCTTGGCACTACGCTACCAGAATTCCTACATGTGATGTACTAATACTAAAAAAATGATCCACTGTTTATCTAAAATTCAAATTGATTTGTGTCCTATATTTTATCTGGCAATCCTACAAGGCTCAGGTAATTCTGCCAAGAATAGAAAAACATGTTCTTTTTTCTTTCCCTAGTCTTTCAGTTTTCCTCTGGCACCTCCTATTGGCAAAGCCTAGCACACAGAGCCAGGTGGCAAAGCTGAGAAGTGGTTTGCAGATTCTTAAGCTCCATATTTAGCACAGTGTCTAAGGCTTTTGACTGCTAACCAGAAGGCTGACAGTTCAAACCCACCAGCTACTCCTCGGAAGGAAGGTTGGGCAATCTACTTCCATAGTGATACCACCTCGGAAACCCAAGGAGGGGTCACTATGAGTCGGGTCCGACTCAACGGCACATAACAACAGCAACAACAAGCTCCATACTTAAAGAAGGATGGGTTTGAAGTTGAGAAATAATTACCGGATAGTATAATATAGTCTACCCTCTTGTGTATTTAGTGTCAATACACACCTTCTACACATTTGAAATTCCAGACAACAAAAAAAACAGCTCATTATTTCTGCACAGCAAAATATACTTTCTTTCAATAAATGAAGACATTCTCACTCTTTCACAAAAGTGGGGAGCTGAAAAGTCTCAGCATTGTATTCACCACTGGGCTTAGTTAACTACTCTCAAAATTCATTCAGTCTCATTGGAAAATTCTATTACCTAGAGACTAATTGTAGGCTCTACCTCCAACAAAGCATATAAAATAATAGAATGAGAAGGGAGAAAAAAATAACTAACATAAGCAGACCTTGTTTCTGTAACCAATCATGAAACCATGGATGATATTTATAACTTTCTTCCTCAACCTCCTATTTCATGTTCCTTTGCCCTCAGGCAGGATCTCAGCTGGCCCAGATTCTTTACTTAATAGGGTGAACCAGACTTTCATTTCTGACAGATCTGATTCCTCACTTATCCTGCCTCTCTTTAGTTGCTATAGTTTTCATGAATATTTACTATTGGTCAAAGAAGTACTAAGAGACACCCCAGAGAATCCCCAAGGCTCCAGATATAGTCCTTTATGGCCCTAATTGTGTAGCAGCAAGCAATTTCCCCTGATTTATTACCATGAATCACCACTGTCAGTAAATTGACCTCCTTTGCCTGTTAGTTTAGTGGCATACAGAACCCCACATGACCAGGTGGCAGTCTCAGCTCCCAGTTCAGTAGAACCATGTTATGAACACTGTTGGAAGCATTCCATTCTTGGGAATCAAGACTTCCAATCTAGCACAAAGTTGAAGAGCAAAAAATCTACAGGAGTTTTTAGGTGAAATGGTGACAGGAGCCTTTTGATTTCTCGTTTGATATAGACCCCTGTATTCTAATTATCAGAGAAATAGCACAAGGTATTATTTTCTCAGTCAAATCATATATCGCATCCTATAAGACAGAACTTCATATCCCCTTAAGACAAGGAAGTCTTCAGTAGGCCTTCTAGTAGTTTATCATGCCAGCTGCTCCTGAGTGGTGGAGTATTCATTAAGACCAGTGAATTCCATGAGCATGAACCTATTGTTACACTTCTTTAACTGTGAAATTAGTTCCTCAATTAAGAAGTCTTATTGTCCAGAATATCAGGATGGTGAATGTCATTCCACATATCTCAGATGATGGTGCTGGCCAGAAACAAGGAAAGAAAATCCATATCCAGAATATATGTCTCTTCCAGTGAGAACAATTCCCTTTCTTGTCTTTCAAACACACAAGCCATTTGATGATGGGATGCTATTGGGAACACACAGCCTGGTATGGCCTGATTGGTTAAATGGACAATGCAGGTCACGTGGTCATTTGGTATTTCATGGTGGTCACATTTTTTATTTTCCATTTTTCTCTTAAACAAATCAGCATATGAGGGTCACACTTCTTTTTTGGCTTCTATTTATCATATATAAATGGTGGTGGTAGTAACACCTGACTGGAAGGTGATCCTCTCTCCCAGGGTCCCAGAGATGGTTCTCAGAAGGAGAATAATTATCTGCAAAAGATAGTGTGAATTTGCTCCAAAACCTACTTGTCTACAGGATTGACTTCTGTAATGGCAAAGAAAGTTGCTTGTCTCCTCCAGATCCTAGGTGTGGGGAACTCTCTCAAGGGTCATCTCTGGGTGACAGGGACCAGGGGCCAGAGTTTGATTCCAGCCCACTCTGTTGCAGGCACAGCCTCTGTTGCTGTGGCAGGTATCCTGGCCGCTCTGCGAATCACCAAAAACAAGCTCTCCAATCATGTGTTTGTTTTCCAAGGTGCAGGTGAGGTAGGTGGCATCAGAGAGGATCTACACTGTTGTTTCAATAGTAGAATAAAGATGAGTGGAGCAGTATCAAGGAAAGGAGGTGTTCTGGGGTTCTGAGAAGAGGAAGCAGCACAGGTGTATCATGATAATTATAGCTGCCTGGGCTCCTACCATGGGGTGCCTCAAGGCAAGGACCTAACTGGGCCTCCTGGGGGTGGGGGGTGGAGGGTAGGGAGAGAAAGATAATTGCTGAGCAGCTATTTGCCATCTGTCTGAACATCTGCTTTATGATACTTCTCAGGCAGCCATGGGCATTGCCCACCTCCTTGTCATGGCCCTAGAGAAAGAAGGCATACCCAAAGCAGAGGCCACAAGGAAGATCTGGATGGTGGACTCCAAGGGGCTCATTGTCAAGGTACTGTCAGTCTGGATATTTGGAGGTTTCCTGACACCTCGGACTCCAAAAACTGGACTGAAAAATGCCCACAAGGGGCAAACTGTTCAACAGAATAGGGAGCCAAAAGAGGGCAATGGCTGAAGCTTCAGAGCAAAAGACTTCACAAAGTAGCCTTAATTGTTCTTAACCAAAACCTTTGAATATGTTTGTGAGTGTGCATATGTGTGTTCCTTTCAGCCTTATCTCCCATCACTTCCTGCCTTACACTAATCCCCAGCAGCCATACTGAATCTTATTTCTCCAAAAGTAGCAAGCTCTCTCACTTCCATGTCTTTGCACATTCTGTTCCTCCACCTAAAATGCCCTTCTCCCTTTGTCTCATGCTCACTGCCAACCCTCAGCCCCTTCTCAGTTAACGCCTTCTCATTATGCTTTCACTGAAAATGTTACTTCCTCCATGAAGCTTTCTCACTTTCAACTTCCTACATCTGTGGTCATATAGCCCTCCCACTTTGCACTTACCACACTGTGGGGCAGTTGCCCCTTTATGTGTCTACCATCACTAGGCTTTATGTTCTTGATGTCAATGCTTGTAACATGATAAGTAAATAATAAATGTTTGAGGTATGAGTGGAAGAATGAATGAGAGAGAAACAGTGCAGCTTCTAACTGGTATGTGTTGAGGGCTACAATTGGAAGACTCCTTATTTAGGGCTTCACTTTGAGCTCCATGTTTTAATTCCCAGAATTAGACTAAGGTAGAATGTCAGTGAGAGATGAGATATGGCAGATATGGGAACTAGGGGGAAGTCCGGAGTACATTACCCAATAAGCAAGGGTAAGCATGGGCTTACTGACTAATCTGTACTGAACAATTTCACATGGGTTTCACCACATCTTTGATCATCTTACTCATCTTTTGAGCCCAAAGAGCTATCAAAGCTGCCTTCTTCACTCTAGTTCTCATGAGGCCAGGTGCCCTCAAAAGAATCATCAGAAACGTTTGGGCCCATTTACCAGTACTGGTGGTGGCTATCACCCACTGACTTCTGTTTGAAGAAATGAAAGCATTCTGGAGCTGGCTGGGCACTGTCAGCTGTTTCACGATTGTCCTAGAGCTCAGCTGAGTATTATTCATAAGAAGTTAATGGTTTATTATTTATTATAAGAAGTTAATGCATCCAAATTAGCTCCTGAAGCCAGGTGGCTCCGGCTCCAGCCCTCAGCTGGGTCTGAATGCCAGATGCCTCTCGGCCAAGAATCTTGGTCAGACTCAGCCATTTCCTGAGTGTCTTTCAATTATGTGTGGTTTGGATTTTAACAAATTAAAAGGTTAAATCATTAAAAATCCTTAGGTTCCATCAGGAAATCTGATCAAGAGGACTGGCACCAAGGCTTCTGATAACTCAGACCAAAGCATGGGACTCAGCAGGGAATGCTCTCAGAGTCTCCCATACCCCCTGCCCAAATCTGTCTTTTGTTTTTTCTCTGTAGGGAAGGAGTCACCTGAACCATGAGAAAGAGATATTTGCCCAGGATCATCCTGAAGTAAAGTCCCTGGAGGAGGTGGTGAGGCTGGTGAAGCCCACAGCTATCATAGGTAGGAGAAAGGAGGAGACCCACTGCCCAGTCCTGTTAACCCTCTTGAATTGCAGATGCAGAGACTGAGGCTGAGAAAGGGAGCATCACTAACCATGAAAACACAGCTGTTTCCCCTATCCTGTTCTAATTCAATGCCACAAACTTTTGTTGAGTGACTTCTATAAAAACTATAGAACTAAGGCACCAGAGTGAAGGCTTAGTGATGCAAATTACACAGTGCAATGAAAAAACACAAGGCTAGTCTTTCCAACAAGGATGATATGAATGCTTCTCCCCCAAGGCAGGGCCCTGGCATCTCTCCCTGCACTGTGGGAGTGTTGTTGTTGTTAGGTGCCATTGAGTCAGCTCTGACTCATAGTGATCTTATGTACAAAAGAATGAAACACTGCCTGGTCCTGCACCAGCCTCACAATTCTTGCTATACCTGAGCCTATCGCTGGAGCCTCTGTGTCAATCCATCTCATTGAGGGCCCGCTTTTCATTGATCCTTCACTTTACCAAGCATGATATCCTTCTCCAGGGAATGGTCCCTTCTGACAACATGACCAAAGTAGGTGAGACAAAGTCTGGCCATTCTCACTTCCAAGGAGCATTCTGGCTGTGCTTCTTCCAGGACAGATTTGTTAGTTATTCTGGAGGTCCATGGTACTTTCAGTATTCTTCGCCAGCACCACAACTCAGAAGCATCAACTCTTCTTTAGTCTTCCTTATTCATTGTCCAGCTTTCATATGCCTATGAGGTGATTGAAAATACCATGGCTTGGGTTAGGCACACCTTAGTCTTCAAAGAGACATCTTTGCTCTTCAGACTCTAAATGGCAATGCCCAGGAATGCCTTCACAGGTCTATCTTAACTGGGCAGAGAAATGAAATGGACCATTTGTCCCTTAGGAATAAACAGAAGGCCTCAGGCAACTCAGGCAAGAAGACCCTTTTCCTTTCTGCTCCCTCAGTTCCTATGTCAGATGGCATCCCCAAAATTCCCAACTCTTTAGTTTTATACGTAGTTTCCTCCATTACCACCACTACCACCAGGAGAGGAATGGTTTGTTTACAAAGAATAGGCATCCCCGCTACCCCCTCCCCCACTTTTCCCTGTAGGTGTTGCCGCCATCGCAGGAGCCTTCACGGACCAGATTCTGAGGGACATGGCCTCCTACCACGAGCGCCCTATCATCTTTGCCCTGAGCAACCCCACCAGCAAGGCTGAGTGCACAGCTGAGAAGTGCTATCGGGTCACCGAGGTCAGCGGGGAGTCCTGCCTTCCCCAGGCTGAGAGGACATAGCAACAATAACTATGAGTAACCCTTTGTGGGTGAAAAACATCCCCACATCTCTGATGAGCAAACTAAGGCTCAGAAATGAAGTAATTTGCCACAGAGCAAAGAAGTAGTGGAACTGGTACTCCAACAGGTCTGACTCCAAAGCCCAAGCTCTTACCCATTATGCTATACTTCCCAAGTTCCCCCCTAAATAACAAGGGGGAAATCACCCTAGATTTGACCAGAATCCTAGGCACCTCTAGACTCTAGTTCACCTCCATACCAATCGTGCCCTGAGTTGGTCCTCCCAGGAGGTGAAAGGTAAAGAAGAAAAAGTGAACCCCATCACCTTTCAGTGATTTCTTGACTGCCAGTTAAGTCCAGAAGGGCTGAGATTTCTGGTCAAATGAACAAGCATGCTTTGAGCATCTGCCATGTTCTCAGAGCAATGCTGGGCATTTGGGAGAGGAGAAAGGGTCCAACATCTGGTAGATAAGACTAGGCCACCATTGCTGCCTGATATCAATCTGCAAGCTCTGCTTCTGGTTTTCTTCCTGCCTCCAGGGCCGAGGGATCTTTGCCAGTGGAAGTCCTTTTAAGAGTGTGACCCTGGAAGACGGCAGGACCTTCATTCCTGGGCAGGGAAATAACGCCTATGTGTTCCCTGGAGTGGCACTGGGAGTCATTGCCGGCAGGATCCGGCACATCCCAGACGAGCTCTTCCTTCTGACAGCAGAGGTATTACTGATCCTGTTCCTCTCATGTTCCTGATAGGACCCCCAAATATTCCTCTTCCTACCTCTTCTATCCACCCCCCCCCCCAACCCTGACAGTGGATCCCCAAAGTGCCTGAAGATCAAGCTTCTCTCCAACTCACCTTGAGGCCTGAATTTCTCTCAGATCACACACAGGATATTTGAGAAGTTATAGGGAATACATTTACAGTCTAGGAAACACAATGGAGCTGTTCTACCCATAGAGTCACTATGAGTTGGAATCAACTGGACAGCAATAGGTTTGGTCTGGGTTTGGATAGGGAATGGTCAATGAAGGGGTTGTTGGCAGGAGGCACTGACAGTACCCTGCACTACTCCTTGCCTCCCCAGAAGTGCCCTTCTAGATGCCTAAACAGAGAAGATACCACCAAAGCCACATGAAATTGGGCTCATGGACCATAGCAAGTGATGGATTCTCCTAGCCATTGGCCTTGGCCACATCACCAGGATAACTGGTGGCAGAAAAAGTCAGCCCCACAACAACAGCTTTCTATAAGGGATGGAGTGGGTTGCATGCCTGGTTTTACCTACTATGAGTACACAAATCGTGAGCACACTTATAGGGGTAGGGGATGTACCTGCTCAAGGTATCATCCTAGAAAAGTTCCCAGAAGGGTTCCATGTCCTAGACACTGTGGAGACAATCAAAGGATTTATTGAGAATGATAGCCTAAGTTCATAATAATGGTTATCATAACACTTATAATGGCTGCCATTTATCAAGTGCTCACTAAGTGCCAGACACTTTACATTAATCCTCACTCTGAAAAATAGAAATGTCTCTGCTGGGAGATCAAGGTAATTAAAGCTATCAACAAATATTAACTATAAATACTCTCAATGAACTCCAAAGACTCTACTGTGATTTCTGACATACTTCGGCATTTCCTCTTCACCACATCAATGGAAAGAGTCCAAACCAGCAAGACATGGAAATGGCTTCCTTGCAACCCTGTTTGGCTCCCCTTCTATGCATCCTACATGGAAATGTCTCATGTACAACGCCCTTTCTCACAAAGTCCTGGTCCTTGCTTGAGCCCTGGCTCCACAAGGCCATGCAAATAATGTCTCCTGAAGGCTGTTCAGTCTCCTACATGCCCTATGCACACTAGCTATGATATTGTACAGAGGCTCTCTGTCCCTCTAGCCTGTGTTTATATTTGTTCTCATTGCTATAATTGCTGTTCATGTCATCCTGGGACTGTGGTCAGGGCTGTGTGAAACCCCCATTGGATGAGAAGAATCAGTTTCAGCCTAGAGTCAGTCTGAACACACATTCCACTGTTGTGCACACAGTTGCTACCACCCTTCCTTTGTAAGCTCAAGAAACATCTTACATGCCCACCTCCCAATGCTGTGGGACAGTTCTGCTCCCTCGTTTCATGAACAGTATCCTGATGATTACACAGAAAACTTTTCTCAATCTATTTATTAAGCACCTACCATGAGGAAGACAAAGCCCCTGCCCTCTAACACCCAGCGGTCTGGTCCTCCAACCCCTGACACGTCATATTTCTGAAAAGGCTGCTTTTAGTTAAGACAATTTAAGTTGAATTGGATTTTCCTATGGGAAAAAAATAATATAAGCTTTAGGAGATGTACATGCGAACTCCCTTGCTCTTTCTCATCTCCAAGTGTTTGCATGTGCTATTCCTTCTCCCCTTTTTAAAATTCCTACTTTGCCCTTCGGGAGCTCTGGTGGCATAGTGCCTAAAGCCTTTGCTAACCAGACTTTGTCCCTCAGGTTTCAACTTAAGTTGCTTTTTCTGAGAAGCCTTTCTTATACATGGCAGACTGAGCCCTGCCTTCTTCACTGCCTAAATGCCCACTCTCACTGCACTGACACCACTATACAGTTATTATAACCTATACACTATATAGTTAACACTATACAGTAAAACCTGCGGAAGCCGGAACCTGTGTAGACAGAAACCTGTCAGAGAAGGAAAACTCAAATACTTTCCACTAAAACAAGTGATAGAAAAGTGGTCAGACTGTACCCTGTCAAAAGCAGAAAACTTGTGAGACCCAGAAAAAACAAGGCAATCCAATCAAGTTCTGACTCTCACAGGTTTTACTGTAATCATTCCATTACTCCAATCTCCCTGAGGGAAAAAGACTATGGCTTCTTCAGCAGGAATATCAACACAGAGACTAGCATATTGTACAGCTTGACAAATGTTTGAGTGAACGGATGGAAAAGAGAGATAGGAGTATGAGACTGAGGCAGAGGAGAGGGAGGCCTGCCTCCCTAATGTCTGCCAAATCATGAGAGACCATTTCCCTTGCCTGTTCATTCTGGAACACATGGTTCTCAGAAAGTACCAGTGGCTTTTCCCAAAACCCAAACTGAACACCAGAAAATCAGGTGGGGGTTGGATTCAGAGTTGCCACATTAAAGGGGCCAATCTGAATGGCTAGCTGAGCACCAGCCACTAGGGCTGAAAGATGAGGTTTACAGAGGAGGGTTTACCCTCAGAGGTAGGTTCTGAAGCAGTAAGGGAAGTTGAATGAGGTGGTGTTCCAAGAGTGGTGTGCTTAGGGCATTTATCCCACTAACCCAAAAGGCCCACTTATAATGTCACTCACTGGTGCAAGGCCTTTCCTCAGACTGGAACCAGGGCTAGAAGGGAGCATGCAAAGAGCCCTGAATCCTGGGAGATGAGATGGCCAGATGGACACCCAAGGATGGTGTCTAGTTGCATATAGGAGGCAGCAGGAACCCACGAAGTAAGAGACCCAGGGACTACTATGCAACAGACTGAAGAACCAGCCAAGAAGAGCTCCTAGAGTCTTCTTTGCAGGCTAGAAGGTTATTCATCTTGGTCTTAGTGATTTTCCTTTAGAATTCAGTGAGTCTTTTCATTTTTTTTTTTTTTTTTTTTTATTGTGATTTGGGTGAAAGTTTACAGAGCAACTTCATTCTCCATACAACAGTTCATACATATTTGTTTCATGACATCGATTGCAATCTCCATAGTGTAACAGCTCTCTTCCCACTACCTCCATGTGGTTGCCTTTTCCCTGTGTCCTCCTTTCCTATGGATTCTGCCCTCTGAGCTATCTCCTTGTGCAAATACTGCCTTTCTGATCTCCCATGGTTGATTGTTTTAAAGAGTGCACCTACCTGGTATAAATGTTCACCTTATATGCCTGTCTGTTGCTTGGCTGGAAGCCACAGGAGTTCAATTCCAGACCTGAAGGGTGACCAGGGGCCATACTTTTGGGGGTTTCACCAGTCTCTATCAGACTAGTAAGCCTGATCTTTTTTTTATGATACTGAGTTTGATTTAGAATTCAGTGAATCTTATGCTGCTTTTTTAAGCCTCAGCCAGTCTCACAGTACAGAAAAGACATGTCTTTGCTTAACCCCCAGCATTAAGTTCCATTGGGCCACATGGTAGTATTGACGGCACTGGGAACTGCAACAGCTCCTTTGTGGGAGGGGCAGTGGGAGACTTGAGGCTTGGGGTAATAGGTTACTTGTTCTAGGGAGGCAGAAACTCAACTTCTTTCTTTCGGTTCTGTCCCTCTTCCCAGCAAATTGCCCAGGAAGTCTCTGAGCAGCATCTGTCCCAGGGGAGACTGTACCCACCACTCAGCACCATCCGAGATGTGTCTCTGAGAATCGCCATCAAAGTAAGGGGCATCCTACCCCCGTAATATGGGTAGTGAGGCTCAACTGCTTTTTCTGTGACTTTAGGAAGGCTAAAGGGATGGAAGCTATGGAGACATCGTAAGCTCCTTGCACTGCATTGCATGTGACCCAGAGGCAAGCTGAGAAACTCCTGTCTTTAGTTTGTGCCCCACCCGCAACACCCACCCAGGCCAGTTCTGGGAAATCTCCAGGATTTCCTCTCAAACACCAGGCAGAAAGGTCATCAAAGTCCATGGTCTTGTGGACCAGAACGTGGGTGGAATTTTAAAAAATGAATCATAAAGGCTCATTTATAAAGAAAGGTCAGCCTACATAGCATCATGGAAAGAGCTCAGGCTTTGGAGTCCCAGCTCTGCCAATCAGCATCAGGACAACCTTGGGCCAATCAATCACTTCATTTCTGTGAGCCTCAGTTTCCCCTTCTTCCAAATGGACCAGTAAACCCTCTCTCCACAGTTGTAGAGAAGATTTAAAGAGACCAGTGAGAAAGTTTCATACCCAGTACTACAATAGATGCTTATCCCTCCTTGCTGTCAGAATGGCTGGGGCCATGGGATGATCAGGTTCATGGACTATTTCACATAAAAATGTCACTGTAGAGACTAGGCAGAGATGATGAGTTTCCAATGAATCAAGACATGGTGCAATAAAGACTGACCATGCATCAATAATTATTGGGTACTGGATGGTGAGTACCCAGGGTTTATTATACTATTATTTTTACTAATGTGTATGTTTTTAATTTTCTATAATAAAAAGGGTTTTAAAAATAACTTTAAAAAAACATAATGTGTGATAACACACAATTAGGGCAGGATCCAGGATCAGCCCTCAAAATCAATAGTCCAGCTCACAGTTTACTCCATTCTGTCCAGTTCCTTCCTTTTTTGGATATTTAAACTCAGTCTCTCATAAAACCAAATATAATACCAAAGAACAGTTTCCCAGATGCTCATCCAATTCAGTCCACATTCAAGGGAATTATATGTCACTGGACACTTTTGCTTGCCTATTACCTAATTTTATCCACACACTACTCCAGAGAAATGTTTCCTTACCCTCATTTTACAGATGAGGAAACTGAGGCTCAGCAAGGATACTGGTGCCCCTGAGGATCCACAGGCAATTGAAGCAGAGGCAGAATTTAGGTTTGGCCTCTTAACTCTGGCCCAGTCTTTGTACAGCTACTGTCTGTCCAGGCAGAAAGATCAAAATCCTTCTTATTCCATGGCTTCAAAGACAACAGCCCATAGGAGGAACATGTCTGATTCTTCAAGGTGTATTCTACTTCCCCAGGCTCCCAAGCAAGGGACTTTAGGCAGGTTCCTCCTTAGATCGAGTTCCTCAGCCAAACATGTTTTTCCCTAGGTTCTTGACTACGCGTACAAACACAGCCTGGCCTCCTACTACCCGGAGCCCAAAGACAAGGAGGCTTTTGTAAGATCCCTGGTCTACACTCCAGACTATGACTCATTTACGCTGGACAGCTACACTTGGCCCAAGGAAGCCATGAATGTGCAGACGGTCTGATGCAGTCTCAGTGGCTGATGTGGGGCTGGATGAAGCTCAGAGTAGCACCAGCAATATAAATGGGTTCCAAAATGGCCATCTTTGTCACTGTGGTTTTTTTTTATTTGAACTCTCTGGTATAAGGGGAGATGGCCAAGCTTATGATGAATGATACCCTTGTCTCTGAAGGCCCTTGGAGTTCATGTTTTCCTAACCCTCCTCTGAATTGCTTCCCAAGCATTTCTTCATCCATTATTTGGCACTTCTGCGAAACATGCAATCTTGCCTAGAATCTTGCCTTTACAGAGCTCAGGATCTACAGGAGCAGATGAGATGCAGGCACAATTCATTTCATTATAAGGGGAAAAGTGGTAAGTCCCTGAAAGAATGACAGATAAAGATCAAGGGCACTCAGAGGAGGAAGACTATACTTCCTATGAGGGTATAAAAGAAGGCTACAGGGGCAGCAGTGAGTCCCACAAGTGAAGGATGGGCAGGAGTCACAGGAAGATGGAGAACATGGGGACAGTCACTAGCCACAAAGCACAGCCCACCTAGCAGGAAGTTTTGTCCCTTCCGGAGGAATATACACCCTTAAAGCTCATCACAGTGTGAGAGCTGATTGGCTGGAGGCACCGCACTAGTCAGAAATGGTCACTTCTCTATGAGTTATGGCATAGAAGGCATTCCTTTTTGGTTATTGCTAAAAGGAAATCTCTGGTGGAAAAGATCAGTGTATCAGGAAGTGAGGAGGAAGGGAGGCAGAGGAAGAGTACAATGGGGAGTTCTAAGGAAGACTTGATTTTATTTCCTGGCTGTGGAACATACTCTTTTCCATCCTTCATTCTGCTCTGAAGTAATTCCACAACCCAGACCATCTTCCTTAATGGGGGTGATGTCAGTCTGTTCTAATGTTTCTTAGTCCGTGTTCACTTCTAGCCTTCACCTTGCTCATGTCCAGGAGAACCCACACCATAGGAGGGGTGAGGGGGAAGTGTCTGCAGCCCCCTGCAATCAAGGAACCTAAAATTCTTAAGATCTATTGCGATGGCAGCTTCCAACCTCTAATTTTATTGTATAACAGAGGATATAATAAATCAGGCTCAGGGAACTACCACTGCCCACTCTTGCTACCAGCTCAGCCTCAGGGCACTCACTGCCCACCATGAATAGGTCATATATGGCCATCTCTCAATGACAGGCTTGATGGACCATGAGGTTCCTAGAAAGTTAATTAGCATGAAAAACGATCACCTCTTTCCCAAATCTTACTCTCAAACATCTGCTTCCTTAGTACTAGTGCTCAGCCAAGAATATCTTCAGGGAGCACCCTGATCCCTTGGATCACAGAAAATGAAAAACTATTCAGAAGAGGATTTGAAGATTGAAGCTGTAATTGTACACCATGAAACAGGGAACCTTTTATACTACCTTTCTACATGACATCCTACAACTTCCTCTGTACTCCTATACTTCATTTGTTCCAGCAACAACCAGCCCCCCCAAAAAAAAAGTGCAAGAGGAAACAACGTCTAGAGTTGATGCAATATATGATTTAAAATTCTCAGTTTTCAACAACAAAAAAATATATATGAAGCACGCAAATAAAAAAGAAAAAGTGACCCAGACTCAAGAGGAAAAATAAGTCAATAGAAAAATGCCTTTGGGTGTCCCCAGAAGTAGAATTTAGCAAACAAAGTCTTCAAGGCAGTTACTATAAATATAAGCAAAGAACTAAAGTAAACTCTGTGCAAAGAATTAAAGAAAAGTACAACAGTAAATCCAACAAATAAAAATGCTCAAAAAGGAGATAAATAGTATTTTAAAGGAACCCAATGGAAATTCTGGAATTAAAAAATGTACAATAACTGAAATGAAAAGTTTACTAGTGGTGCTCAACAGCAGATTCAACATGGCAGAAGAGTTAGTGAACTTGAAAGCAGATCAATAGAAACTATACAATCTGAAAAACAGAGAGAAAAAAAAGATTTAAAAATGAACAAAGATTCAGAGACCTGTGGAATACCATCAGTTCTATCAACATATACACAACAGGAGTCCCAGAAGGATAGTAAAAGAAAGAAGTCAAGAAATATTTAAAGAAACAATGGTTGAAAACTTCCCATATTTGATGAAAAATATTGATCTGCGTATCTAAGAAGATCAAACATATAGCACAGCATAAATGCAAGTAAATCCACATTCAGACACATCATACTCAAACTGTTGAGACACAAAGAGAAAATCTTAAAAGTGGGGGGGGTGTGTGTGTGTGTGAATAACCCTGTACAGGGAACTACCAATACAATTAATGGCACTGACTTCATCAGAAACAGGGAAAGACAAAAGGCAGTGGAATGACATATTCAAAGTGCTTAAGAAAAGAAACTATGATTCTAGAACCTGGTGGAACCCCTGAGACTATGGCCCCTAGCTGCCTTTCAGGTCTGGAATTGAACCCACTCCTGTGGCTTGCAGCCAAACAAAAGACAGGCATATGAGCTGAACATTTATATTAGGTAGATACACTCCTTGGAGAAGTCAATCATGGGAGAATAGAAAAGCTGTGTATGCATGGGAGATAGCTCTGGGGGCAGGATTGCATGGGAAGAAAGGGCACAAGGAAGAAGTAACTATGGGGAGGAAGTGGGAAGAGAGCTGTTTCATTGTGGGAAATTGCAGTCAATGTCATGAGACAAAGTGTATGTGAACTGCTGTATGAAAAATGAATTTGTTCTGTAAACTTTCACACAAGTCACAATCAAAATTTAAAATTACAAAAAGAACTATGATTCTAGAATTCTATATCAAGAAAATTATTCTCTAAAAACAAAGCATAATAACAACATCCCATATAATCAAAGACTTAAAATTTTCTTTATTAGAAGACCTACCTGGTAAGAAATACAAAAGAATGTGCTTCAGGCTGAAAGGAAATAACACCAGATGATGACTAGAATCCAGAGAAAAAAATGAAAAATACAAGGAATGATATATATCTGATTTAACATTAAAGACTCTAGAAATATATTTTTTCCTTTCCTCCTTTAAATTTTTTAAAAGACGTAAGATTGTATAAACAATAATTTTTTATCACTGTATAGCTGGCCATATAAGATATATAGTATAATATATATGCTAACAAAAGGACACAGGTAAGGGAAGGGAACAGAGCTACATGGCACAACATTTTAATATTTTACCAGAATTAAGTTAATACTAATCTGAAGTAGAGTGTGATAAAAGGGCAGTGGTGTTTCAGTGGTAGAATTCTCACTTTCCATGCAGAAAATCCCGATTCTATTGCTGGCCAGTGAACCTCAAGCAAAACCACCGTCCATCATCGGAGGTGTATGTGTTGCTGAAAAGGTTTCAACAGAGCTTCCAGATTTAAAAAGGCTAGGTAGGAATAAAGGTCTGGCAATGTACTTAAAAAATAGAAAATAAAAAAAATCCAGTGAAACTCTATGGATCCCAATACCATTGTGCGTGGAGTTGCCATGAGTTGCAGTCTACTCAACAGCAGCTAACAACAGCAACAACAGAGTGTGATAAGTTTAGATGCTTATTGCAATCTCCAGAGCAACTACTAAAAAAATAATAGCTATTTTATTATAGCTATTAAATAAAAATAAATAGCTAAATAATATTAAGAAGATTTGCAGAGAATATTTGCATTGGGCAAATCTGCTGCAAAAGACCTCTTTCAAGTGCTGAAGAGCAAAGATGTCTTCTTGAAGACTAAGGTGCGCCTAACCCAAGCTAAGGTATTTTCAATTGCCTCATATGCGTGTGAGAGCTGGACAATGAACAAGGGAGATCGAAGAAGAGTTGATACTTTTGAGTTGTGAGGTTGGCAAAGAGAATGGAAAGTACCATGGACTGCTAAAAGAGCTAACAAATCTGTCCTGGAAGAAGTGTAGCCAGAATGCTCCTTGGAAGTGAAAATGGCCAGACTTCGTCTCACCTTTTGGTCACGTTGTCAGGAAAGACCATTCTCTGGAGAAGGATATCATGCTTGGTAAAGTGGAAGGTCAACAAAAAAGGGGAAGGCTCTCAACAAGATGTACTGACACAGTGGCTGCTACAATGGGCTCAGGTATAGCAAGGATCATGTGGCTGGCACAGATTCAGGCAGTGTTTTGTTCTGTTGTGTATAGGGTTGCTATGAGTTGGAGATGACTCAACCGCACCTAACAACAACAGCAACTGATGGTGCAGTGCCTAAGGCATTGGACTGCTAACCAGAAGGTTGGAGGTTCAAGCCCACCAGCCTCTCTATGGAAGGAAGATAGGGCAATCTACTTCCATAAAGATTTACTACCTCAGAAATACACGAGGAGTTACTATGAGTCAGAATTGACTTGATGGCGGTGAGTTTGGTTTTAGGAGTTTTATACAGAGAAAACTAAACAATCTACATACAAAAAAAATTACAAAGGAATTTAAATAATACACAAAAATACATAGCAAAAAAGAAAACAATAAAGGAAGAACAGGACAATAACAAAAACAGCATACATTAAACAGCACAATGGTAAATGTAAACCCAAACATGGTAATAAATACATTAACTATAAACAGTATAAACACACCAGTGTAAAGGCAGAGATTGTCACTTAGATATAAACATTTAAGACAAGAAATATTACTAGGATAAAAAAAGGGAGATATTTTATAATTATAAAAGGGTCAGTACATCAGGAAGATAAAAAATTATATCTATCCTCTCACCTAACAAGAAAGCCTCAAAATACATGAAGAAAAACAGTCAGAATTTAAAGATAATGTTGTTGTTATGTGTCGTCGAGTCAATCTGACTCATAGCGACCCCTCCTTGGGTTTCCAAGGCAGTATCACTATGGAAGTAGATTGCCCAACCTTCCTTCCAAGGAGTGGCTGGTGGGTTTGAACCGCCAGCCTTCTGGTCAGCAGGCAAGTGCCTTAGGTACTATGCTACCAGAGCTCCTTTAAAGATAATAAACAATCCAATAATAACAATTGGAAATTTTGATACTCTT